ACACCAGTGCATTTCCAAAAGCTTTCACTCTACTAATAATAATCGCTTATATAGAAAATATAGAGATAAGTCATGAATTTGACTCCATTTGTACGTCGTAGAGATGACTCAGTGCATATCTGCTTATTACATTCACCCAACAGGCTTAACATGTTAATACTACCATCTGCTCTAATAGGACTAAGATTCTAATTCACCAGCGTCAGAGCGATCGGTAAAGCTCAGTAAACACAGAGCGTGGGATCGAACCATTAACCACTCGTGTACTGCATGGCATCTCTAATCGCTGCTCCCGACGCCACAAGGCTTAAATATGCGCGCATACGCCGTTGAGGCGGTGCGGTAGGCGTCTTGACGCACACGCATCATTTTCGCCATACGGACGCGGTCGTTGTCATCGTCATCGTCGATGGAGAAGACAAGTGATTTCTTCCATTTTTATTTTTTGTTTACATCCTTTATTATTTTTATTCTCATTTTCTATCTTTCAGTTTTTTTTAATAATTTCTATTATAAGCCCTTTTGTAATATTCTACCCATCCGCAGAAAATTCCTCTTCCAGGGAATGGGCTTAAGTAATCAAGACTACCTACTATCCTCTCAAATAGATCTGGGGAACCAATTCACCGGTGTCAGAGGGCTCGGTAGGGCTCAATGAACGTGGAACGTGGGATCGAACCCTTAAACACTCATGTGATTAAGGCTTCTCTAATCGCTGCACTGCACGTGCCTGCCATGTCTGGACAATCGAAATGACGCCGCAGGGCGTACATATGCTCTTGCACGCCGTTGCGGCTGCAGCGGTATGGTAAGCACCTTGGCGCACTAGCATCACTGCTGCCACCGTGTGCGGTCGTCGTCGCCGTCGGCGTAGATGTGGAGGGCAAGTATTTCTTCCAGTTTTATTTTTTATTTGCATTCTTTTTTACTCCTATTTTTATTTTTAATTCGTTATTTTCTGAAATTTTTCTAATTTGTCCTTTTTTTGGCAAACTGCCCATCTGGAGGGAGTCTCTCTTCCGCTGAATGGGTTCTCATGCTCACCGGATCTAACTTTTTTTCGACTTTCGTGTCTGATATAAAAATTTCCTATACTTGCATTTACTAGAGGATATTTGAACGGCAACTCTGAGATCTTTTGGTGAGTGTTCTAGTTATCTTATCATCTCAACCGTGACTCCTGGGTTCTATTTCATCACTCACATGAAATAAGAATAGAGAAAGGGATTCATTTAGTAGTTACTCGATTATTATAACTATCTCATTCGCATAGAATTCAAGTGGTACTCGATGAAAATCATTGGAAACAGGAAAAACCACCCGATCTCCCAGTATTCGTTGAGATTATCAAGTCCTCAGGCAAGCCAGGGACGAATTGATTACTAGAAGTACTGGGATTTTCACAGCAAAATGTGATACGGGTCAAGTAAGGTGTTAAGGCGAAAAGTTATACCTCGCACTTCTTATGCTCCTATTCTTTAGCAGCATCTTGGTACATTTGTGTTGAAAACTTGTAACATTCTCAAAAACTTAGTAAATGGATGAGTTTGCACTCTGTGTGCTACAGAAGAATAAACAAATCAGTATAGATAGCAAGGAGCAGCTTTTCACGAACAAAACATAACGCAGAGTGTGTTGGATAAGCTACCGATTGAATTCTTTTGGCAAGGAACCAGTGTGCTTTGAGAAAAAAAACTGCGACATTGCAAGTTTGTTGATGTGATCACACAAAGTAGCACATGTATGGCGCTACGTAGACAAAATTTTCCGTGTCCTGGTTTATGATAGAGAATCCGGAACGACTTTTTTGTAATAATTTTCCGTTGAATCACTGTCACTTTCCTTTACCAGCGTACTTATACACATAAGTTCTGGAGAATCGTGACACCTAACAGAGATGCATTGCAGTTTCTGTTGGAAGTTTCGATTTTTCCTACATCTAGAGTTATTACAGATACCATTCGAATAAGAAGATCATCAACACAAAGCAGTTCCGAACCTTCGCAGCCCATGCACAGTGCAAGATCAGTGCCTCCGTTCAAAACAAGAGGCAAAGATAAGGCTACCGAACCGACTCGTGGGAAACGTCGTGGAAGAGGTAGAAGAAAGCCTTAGTTGGGGTGTTGCTGTTTTTGTTGGGATTTTTATTGGTTTCTTTCGATATCGTGCATTTCTGAGGTAGTTTGTCCTAAGTCATTTTTGAAGCTTTTGTTGAACAATTTGAGTCTACTGTATATGCCTTTTTCACAGTCTTGTGCGTTGATTTGAAGTGAAATCAACATCGATTCTAATTGGATCGAGTTGTATTCTTTTTTAATCTATCAATAAGTTCTGACTTAAGGTATGTACTCTGCCCTGTTGTGACATTTTTTATATACTTTCAATGTATACACTTGTTGTTAGTTTTTGTTCTGTGAATCTTGTTCTCTGTTTTGTTGATCAATGAACATGTGAAAAGGATGTTGTCTTATGTTTTTGGAAGTCGCTCTGGTTTTTTTTTTTTCAAAGAGTTGGTGACTTTGGACATGGTGTCTTTTTTTTACAGTTCCTTCCACAACTAAGGATCAGGTTATATTACCTCCTTTTCGTATGGAGAACTCACCTTGTTTGTCGTTATACGCAATTATTTTCTAGAGCGTAAATGAGAAAATATTTCTTGGAACACATACAGACTTTGCTCAAAAATGAAGCCAATATAGGACTGAGGAGAAAGAACGCAGAAATACTCAGAGAGCGACAAGTGTGCCACTACTTTTCAACAAAACCGAACACATGTTTATGAGATGAATATTTTTGAGAATTATTTACATAGACCTATATTAACAATGTAATTTTTTGGAAGTGATATGTCAGTGAGTTTCTAAGTTTTGTTTATGCTGCCGCTTTTAATTGAGATCAATCAGACATTATCCAACTGTTAACTGTGCGAAATGGTTTACAGCTCCAGGTGAGGTTTTGTGAAAGGAGACATTTCTGAATCAATAACGCGTTAATTTTATAAGATGGCTGCCTATAACAAATCAACTGCCTTTGCAGCCAAGGAAAAACTGAATAGGATATCCGCTGATTGGTCCCACACTTCTATAGAACGTAGCATGCATACGACGGTCGGTCGCTGTAGAATACTCTATAAAATCATATGCATTAGTGTGAGTGGCTGCCATGGAACCTGCATGAGTCGTTCGCTTTCTGTACGCTTATTCCGACATACAGGACTTTCTCTAGTCTGCTAACGGAGGATGATGTTCGAATGGACGATATCATTTCAGAATTAGAACATAATACGCAAAACTGATGTGATATATGAGATTGGGAGACCTCGGATCAAAGGTAGAAAGTTAATAACAGAGATTTTCTTTGTTAACATTGGCATTTTGATTCATTGTTGGAGAAGTAATGTCAGCTTTGTTTTCAGATCTGAAAGCGTTGATCAGATGTGGTCACAAAGAATGTTTCTAGCCATATCGAGGTTGATACGTTAGTGGCTCACTGCGTTTCGAAGGTCTCGCCCGCATCATCAGAACCACGTGCCTCGCATGTCTCCCCTAGTGATAGTAGAGATGAGGAAACGTTGCTACGGATAAATAACGTAAGATTGTGATTTCCACTTTTCACCATTCCATTCCACTCGATCGCATACGGCTGCCTGGTCAGACAGTGCACCTTACATTCGACGTAGCAACTTCGAAAACCTCGAAACATTCTCTCTGACTATATTTAATGTTTATAAGGAGGTTTTAAATACCGTCGATTGTAAAGTGCGTTGCCTGAATAACAGCTGTATGCCATGAGAATAGTGTGTGAGAGAGTGGAAGCTACATCCCCACGCTATTTTATCCTATCAACGTTGCCCTCGTTCTCTAGTACTAACAGGGTAATCTACGTGTGGAGCATGTGGCTCTGGTGAAGTGGGCGAAATCGCCGAAACGTACGTAACCCGCTGACAAACCGATCCCGAAATGGCCTAAAGCATTTTCTCTGACTATATTAACCCATTGACATCCATAGACGCAAATTTGCATGCCCAGCTGCAAACGTCGACTGTGTGACACCTCCTCCGCCACCCTCACCCTTGCGAGAGAACGACTCCACCTCCTCCTCCGCGACTGTAACCGCCAGCCTGGAAATCACTGTGTGTCTCACTCCTCTCTGCCACTTAACACCCAGTCCATGGAAGGTTACTGGTTCGATCCCCTATCACAGCACTTCACTGCAGTTTTTTTGGTGTCATCTTATTGTTTTCACTACAATATGCTCGAATCACTGACATACCAAATCACACTATATCTCTTGTAATAACACCTTAACACAAGCGATCAATGTATATAGTTTATTTATCATCATATATCTTACAATTGTCAAATGAGCAACATGTCATGTCGTCTGTTATGGGCTCTTGTACAGTCCGATATATGTGCTTCGGCCTTGCAGCCTCGTCAGTCGGGCAGGCCCTTCATTTTTAGTACACAATCGCCGTCAAGTAAAAATGCAAAAGATCGGTGATTTTCTACACTCGATTGCTCTTAGCTGGTATCTTTGAAATATTATAACGATTGTTTCGAATGTTTTCTCAAGACCTTGGTCAAAATTAGATGTAGCTCATGATTATTATTTGAAAATTTTTAGTTTACAAAGGGAAATCGCATACCCGATCAAACTTGTTAAAGGTTTGTTGCTGACAGATAACACAAAGATGTTGAAGAATGAGTGGTTGAGCAAAATGTGCCTCGGCGGTGTAGTGGTCCTCAGGTGGGATGGAACGCGGGTTCGATTCCAGCCTGAGAATCATGTTTGCTCACCACTCATTTCTCTTGGAAATATGTGGAACATCATAACATTGCCAAAAAGGCGATAAAAACAATAGAACTTTGGATTATTACTTCTCACGATGTCTGTCAGCTCAATTGGGTTTATGAAGCGAAATCGCATACCCGACTGAATCTGTTAGAGGTTGGTGGCTGACACAGAGATATTGAAGAATGAGTGGTTGGGCAAAATGTGCCTCGGTGGTGTAGTGGTAGAGCACGCGTCCCTGGATAGGATGAGTCGCGGGTTCGATTCGCGGCTGAGGTCACACTTCTACTCATCACTCAGTTCCCTTAGGAAATTATGAAACATCACAACACTGCGAAAAAAGGCAGTGAAAACAGTAGAATATGGATTATTATTATTTGAGTCGACATGTCATGTGCCAACATGCCACATAGTAATTGTGAGATATATTAATTTTGTGCGTAGTCCTAAGAGAACACTTGAAACGAACGGTATAATATCATCATTTACTCAATAATCTGCAACTTATAACAGCAATTAAAGCGAAAAGAGTTGGATATGCGTTGTTACTCTGTGGATTTACGTTTTGCATTAAAAACTTGTTGAATGTCAGACAATTGAGCGTTTTTTTTTTCTGTTATAATGATTACTTCACGGAAGAACCTTTAGTACTAATCCAATTCGATAAGATAACACGACAAAAACTACAGTGAAGTGTTGTGGTAGTGGATCAAACCACTGACCATCTTCCTAATGGACAAGGTGCCGAATTGCAGAAAGGAGTGAGACGAACAGTGATTTTCATGCTGGGAGTTACAGTCGTAGAGGGGAAGCTGGAGCCGTTTGTCAACCCTTGCCACCTAGACACTCAGACTTGGGTCTGTGGAAGTCAAAAGGTTATGTTGATATCACGGTTTTATAAACCTTGAATGTAACTTACATAAATACTTAGAAAGTTTTACTGAAATTTGCCTGGGTGCCGGTATTTGACGTAGAGTTGAACTCTGTACTCCCTATATGTTGATGTCAGCACATGTTGGTTAGAACGTCTAATCTCTCACAAAAAGTCACCTAACCTCACTCGTTGTGCCATTCACCTTAGATTTCAGGCTTAATGCTTCTTTGCCAGTGGTTTCATGTTTTTCTTCGATTTTTTAAAATGTACCCCTAATTCTATGTGTGATCCCACGCCTTCGAAACGTATCGAAATGTGTAACTGACGATGAAACTCATTCACCAAATAACCACAATGCTGTCAAAATTTGATAGAAGGTACACAACATATGTAAACCATGAAGCTCTTTTCGACAGTGCACTCCACAGAAAAGGTACAATTACTATACAGCATCTCCCAGCGGTTCTTAACACATTGGAGACGGCTTGGACCACGATACGATTGAATTCTCGCCAAATAACAGCTGTCAGAGTTTCTTTGTGCGCCGAAAGTGTCAATTATTTGGTGAGCAGTAATGACGTGGGTGGAACTAATTCCTGACATCATCGTTCTATAGCCCGGCTCACAAAATGGAGAAAAGGCCCAAAATGGATAAAAGGACTAAATAGATAGTTCTAAACGGCAATTAATTTCGTTGTCGCACTGTGGTCAATATGTACGAGGCGAAGCATTCAAAATAGGCCTTGCCTCTATAAAAATTGTGTGTGGTGAGCCAGTTGGTTAGATTCTACTTTACCTCTCCATAATTTATTCGCTCAAATTTTATGCAAATGGAGAGTTTTATATGAGATGTACTTTATGCAAAAATATAAAGGTAAAATTGTGAAATGCATGCATGAAGTGTAGAATGAAACGCAGTCGCTTAGAGCCTTTGATCCTTACATGACGCTGATTCAATCCTGTTATGAACACAGATTTGCCTGTTTGTCTGGTTTTGATGTTAGAATTGTCTAAGAAGCTCCAAAAAATTTGTGAGATCTAGAAGTCTCTACAAGGTTAGCTCAAGATTTGATGAAGTGAATCGAGCATATTGTAGTGAAAACATTAAGATAACACCAAAAAACTGCAGTGAAGTGTTATGATAGGGTATCGAATCAGTAACCTTTCCGTGGACTGGGTGTTAAGTGGCAGAGAGAAGTGAGACAGACAGTGATTTTCAGGCTGGCGGTTACGATCGCGGAGGTGGACGTGGAGTCGTTCTCTGGCTAGAATGAGGGTGGCGGAGGAGGTGTCGTATAGTCGACGTGTGCCAGCTGGACATGCAAATTTGCGTCTATGGAAGTCAAAGGTTTAATGCAGTCAGAGAAAATTTTTAGGCCATTTCGGGGTCGGTTTGTCAGCGGATTACGTACGTTTCGGCGATTTCGCCCACTTCTACAGAGCCACATGCTCTACACGTAGATTACCCTGTTGGTACTACGGACGAGGGCAACGATGATAGGATAAAATAGCACGGGGATGTGGTTTCCACTCTCTCACCACACTATTCTCATGGCATTCAGCTGTTATTCAGGCAACGCACTTTACAATCAACCGGTTTATAAAATCTCGTCATAAACATTAATATAGTCAGAAAGAATGTTTAAGGCATTTCGAGGTGGTTGCGTTGAATGTAAGGTGCACTGTCTGATCAGGCAAGCAGCCGTACGCGATCGCGTGGAATGGAATGTTGAAAGGTGGAAACCACAATCTCACGTTATTTCTCCGTAGCAACGTTTCCTCATCTCTACTATCACCAGGGGAGACATGCGAGGCATGTGGTTCTGATGATGCGGGCGAGACCTTCGAAAGCAGTGAGCTACTAACGTACCAACCTTGATATGGTTCGAAACATTCTTTCTGACTACATTTGATCAACCCTTTGAAATCTGAAAACAAAGTTGACATTAGTTCTCCAACAATAAATCAAAATACCAATGTTAACAAAGAAAATCTCTGTTATTAAATTTCTATCTCTGATCCGAGGTCGACCAAGCTCATATATCACATCAATTTTCGTATTATGTGCTAATTCTGAAATGATATCGTCCTTTCGGACATCACCCTTTGTTAGCAGACTAGAAACAATTCCTGTATGTCGGAACAAGTGTGCAGAAAGCGAACAACTCATTTTCATATCGGCCACTCATGCTAATGCATATGATTTTACAGAGTATTCTAAACCGATCGACCGTCGTATGCATGCTACGTTTTATAGAGGTGTGGGACCAACCAGCGGATATCCTATTCAGTTTTTCTTTAGGTGCAGAGGCAATTGATTTGTTATAGGCAGCCATCTTCAAAATACATTAATGCGTTATTGATTCAGAAATGTCTTCTTTCACAAAACCTCACCTGGAGCTGCAAACCCTTTCGCACATGAACAATTGCATAACATGTCTGATTGATCTCAATCGAAACCGGCAGCATAAATAGAGCTAAGAAACTCACTGACATATCACTTAAAGAAAATACATTGCTAATATAGGCCTATGCAAATATTTCTCAAAAATATTTATCTCATAAACATGTGTTCGGTTTTGTTAAAAAGTAGTGGCACACTTATCGCTCTCTCAATATTTCTGCATTTTTACTCTTCAGTTCCTACATTGGCTTCATTTTGAGCAAAGTCTGTATGTGTTCCAAAAAATATTATTTCATTTACGCACTAGGAAATAATTACATAGACCGACAAACAAGGTGAGTTCTGTATACGGAGAGGAGGTAACATAACCTGATGCATAGTTGTGGAAGGAACTGTAAAAAAGGACACCATGTCCGAAGTCACCAACTAATTGAAAAAAAACCAGTGCGACTTTCAAAAACATAAGACAACATCTTTTTCACATGTTCATTGATCAACAAAACAGAGAACAGATTCACAGATCAAAAACTCAACAAGTGTATACTTAAAGATATAAAAAATGTCACAACAGGGCAGATTACATACCTTAACTCAGAACTTAATGATACATTAGAAAAGAATACAGCCGATCCATCCAAATCAATGTTGATTTCACTTCAAATCTACGCACAAGACTATGAAAAAGGCATATACAGTAAACTCAAATTGTTCAACAAAAGCTTTGAAAATGGCTCAGGACAAATTTCCTCAGAAATGCAAGATATCGAAAACAAGCAATAAAAATCCCAACAAAAATAGCACCACCTCAACAAGGCTTTTTTCTCCCTCTTCCACGACGTTTTTCACTAGTCGGTTCGGTAGCCTCACCTTTGCCTCCTGTTTTGAACGGAGGTTTTGATCTTGGACTGTTCATGGGCTGCGAAGGTTCGGATCTGCCTTGTGATAATGATTCTTCTTTATTCGAATGGTGTCTGTAATACCTCTAGGTACAGAAAAAATCAAAACTTTCCACAGAAACTGCAATCATTTTCTTTAGGTGTCACAGTTCTCCAGAACCTAAGTGTATAAGTACGCTGGTAAAGAAAAGTGACAGTGATTCAACGGAAAAGTATTTCTAAACATTCGTTTCGGATTCTATATTATGAACCATGACACTGAAAATCTCGTCTACGTGAAGCCATCATGTCCCGCTTTGTGTGATGACATCAAAGAACTTTCCATGTCGCAGTTTTTTTTTCTCAAAACACACTGTTTCTTTGTTATAAGAATTGAATTGATCGCTTATCCATCACACTCTGCGTTATGTTTTGTTCGTGAAAAGCTGCTCCTTGCTATCTATACTGACTTGTTTATTCTTTGTAGCACACAGAGAGCTTACTCATCAATTTAGTAACTTTTTGAGAATGTTAGAAGTTTTCAACACAAGTGTACCAAGATATTGGTGAAGAATAGGAGCATAAGAAATGCGGGGTATAACTTTTCACCTTAACACTCTACTTGACGCGTATCACATTTTGCTGTAAGAATCCCAGCACTTCTAGTAATCAATTCGTCCCTCGCTTGCCTGAGGACCTGATATTCTCGATGAATACTGGGAGGTCCGCTCAACATATTATGATGAATTAACTACCAATAACCAAGAACATCAAGTTTGGACTTGTGATGAGTTTTCTAAGAGATATAAGAGTCATAATTGTTCTAGAAACTGTGAAAAGCCATGTAAAATAACATAGAAGTCATGAAAACATTGAAAACAATACTACAAATTAACGAAAGTATATATACAATAATACTAAGTGATATGCAAAACTTTGAACGTCGGGTGGGATTCGAGCTCATATCTCATCCATTCCGAGGACGCGTGTTAACCATTACACTACCTGCACTCCGGAATTCAATGTCGATATCGGCTTTCCAGGCCAAACCGTTGACGGTTGGCTGCTGACAGATCGACAAAACTGCGTCGAAGAGTAATGGTTGAACAGGAGCGTCGGCAGAACAA